GCGGGACCAAACAACCGGAAAGAAAAATACCTTGGCGCCGGAAGTCCCGCCTCCGCGGCGGCTCACGTGACAATCGGCCGGGCGCGCCTCTCTAGCGCTCCGCGCTTCACTGGCCGGAGGCGTCCGCTCTGCACTCTGGGGCCGCGTCTCCATGGTAGTTTCAGGAATTCGTTGCCAGGACGACGAGTGGGTTTTCCTCTGCGTCCTTGGCTGGCTTCCAAGGCGTTGGCAGAAGAGGCAGGGTCAGGCCAACTGCTGCATCAGAGAGGAAAGCGCGGGCCCTGCCCTTTGCCCTGAAGAACCTTCCTGGCTCCCCAGCGCTTATGCAACAAAGTTCCAATTCAGTAAGAGGACCTTAAAGACTCCCACGACCCGCTGTAGTTTGGACCCCAGTAACCACCCACACGCACACCTTGCTTTTTATCTTTTTTCTTTTTGAGTCCTGCCAATGGAACCCGTGGCTTTTCCACGGAGGGACAGCCCAAGCCCTTTCTTATTTTGCATTTTGAGACAGGGTCTCGCTAAGTCGCTATGTTGCCCACGCTGGTTTCAAACTTACGATCCCCTTGCCTCCCAGAATGCTGGGATCGCAGGTGGGTGCCACCACGGCCGGTCCCACGTACCCTGTTGGAGAGAGAGAACGCACCGCTCTGGGCCCTGGGGGTCCACCTGGGCGGTCTACATAGATAGACGGAGCCAGCGGAGGCGCCGAAACTCAGTAGAGGGTTTGGAGGAAGACAGGCCGACCCTGAGGAGCAGGAGGCCTCCTGGCGAGAAGACTGCGACCAGCCTTGAAGGGCTTTCTCTAGGAAATTGCAGAGGCCAGGGAGGCTGGGGTTGGGTATCGAGTAGGCAAGGATTTAGCTCAGTGGTGCCGCCGCCTGCCTCGCAATAGCAAGGTCGCGCGTGCGATCGTGCGATCCCCGATGCCGGCCCCCACCCCGAGAGGAGTCATGCAGTATCCAGGACTCTGACTAAGGATCTGCAAAGGAACAGGTCGGAGATTCTTCCGAGGCGTTGAAAGGAATCGCAGAAGAAAGCAGAGCAGCTGAGATTTTCATCATCCTGGGGTTCAATTTCCCGTCTACGATACGGGGATGAGAATAGCACAAGCCCCTTAGCTAGGAGTGAACACGCCGTTAGACAGTTCTCAATAAACGCCAGAGGGCATCAGGATTTACTGCTTTAATCACACTTGAGTGTCTCCTCTGTACCACAGCGAAGAAAACCAACGCCCTGCCCACGTGGAGCACAATTTTGTTGGAGGTGGAGGAAAGGAAGGCATACATAAAATTGAAGTTGGCAGAAAAGTGTTATAGAAAAGAGCATAGCAGGGCCGGAGATTTAGCTCAGTGGTTCTGCCACCTGCCTCACAAGCGCAAGGTCTTGAGTTCAATCCCCCGTACCAAAAAAAAAAAAAAAAAAGGCATAGTAGAGGGACAGGATAGAATCAGGAACAGTAAAAGGACAATTTTTTAACTTTTATTTTTGTTGTTACCGGGGATTGAATTCAGGACCTTTCCTTTGCAAGGCAGGCACGGTACCCATTGAACCAAATCCCACCCTTTAAAGGACATTTTTTGTTTATTTTCTTTGGAGTTGGAGATGAAAGCGGAGGGGGGTTGCTAACACTTTAACACTAGGTGACACTCAGCCCTTTCTATTTTATTTCAAGCCAGGGTCTCACTAAAGTGTTAAATTGCCCAAGCTGGGTTCACACTTAAGATCCTCCTCCCTCTGCCAGGTTGTGATGGTTCTCACCTGTAACCTTAGTACTCAGGAGCTGAATGATGCAGGATTGCTCTGGAGGCCAGGCTGGACTACATAGTGAAATCATAGCAACATCTTATCTTAAAAATAAAGCTCCTTAGGGCCGGGGATTTGGCTCAGTGGTTCTACCACCTGCCTCGAAAGTGCAAGGGCCTAAATTCCATCCCTGGTGCCTAAGTAAATAAAGAACCTCCTGCCTCAGCCACCCAAGGAGCTGGAATTACAGATGTGCTACCATGACCCATTCCGAAAGGACATGTTTGAGACCACCAGCGAAATTTGAATATATCTGGCCATTAGATGATAAAAAAGGAGCTGTTTCACAGTGAAAATGGCATGTCTATGTTTATAAATATATTTTTATAAGAGATGTGTTTATGGGGGAAGTATGCTTTAATGTGCTTTAAAATACTCCTGAAATAAACTGGGTATAGTGGTACGGCCCTGTGGTTCCAGCTACTCAGAAGGCTGGGTCAAGAGGATTGCAGTTTGTTTTTTTGGTACCGGGGATCAAACTCGGATCCTTGCGCTTGTGAGGCAGGCAGCAGAACCACTGAGCTAATCCCTGGCCCAAGGATTGCATTTCGAGCCCATCCTAAACAACTCAGTCACTTAGACACTTTCTCAAAATCAAAAAGAAAAAAAAATTTTTTTTAAGAAATGAGGATATAGGGCCGGGGATTTAGTTCAGCGGTTCGGTGGCCTGCCTTGACCCGAGTTCAATCCCCAGTACCAAAAAAAAAAAAAAA